GAGTTTTGTTGGCCTCTCACTCAACTGTATGCCACACATAATAATCAAGGGGATTGCAGTCTGGGGGGGGGGGGGTCTAGGTGACCAGGTGTAAGGGGTGATATGGTTGCAGAAATAGTCTGACATCCATGACTGGGTTCTCCTACTTGTGTGGCATAGTGTAGAGTCTTGTTGTCAGAAATAAGGTCTTCCAGCAGCCACCCTCTCAGCCCAGGGCAGCCCTAACTCCTCAAAACACTTGATGTAGGACTGTGTTGGAGCTGAGGCCCTCACCAACAAATTCAGGAGTTCTTTTCTTATCAGAACAATCAGAGTGAATTTTCAGAGCTGCTGTACCTTCGTAATCACCATTAGACTCATCCAACTCTTTCCAAATCCTCTGTACTATCCTCAGATTGACACAAAGACACTCTGAAATGTTCGTATTGGAGCTTCTGGTGTGAATGCCAAGCAGTACAGCATGCCATTTTCAAATTTCTGTTTGAGTGAATTACATTATGTGACTCTTTTTCTTACAGACTGTGCCTAACTGACCCTATTATACTATGCAGTCAACAAAATCAAAAACAAACAATGCACATGCATGAAATTATTAAAAATATAAAATGCCAATAATTTACCCATTGCACACTATATATATATATATATATATATATATATATATATATATATATAATGTTAAAAGTTATAATGTAGTTTTAAGTTATGCTATATTTATGGGTAAAGTGCTCATTATCAGGGATAGAGCATATGTTAATATAAAGTGGACATTGAGGTCAAAGCTGAGCAACAACAGTTTGTTTCATACTTGAGAACAATTTTCAGAACTGAAGATTGCTTTCAAGCATAAAGCATGAGACAGACTTTTGTTGATCAGTGTAGACCTCAACACAAATACCCCCACACACACACACAAAAGAAAAAAAATTATGTAATACTAATAAATAGTGCATAAATTATTTTTAATTTAATTTAAAAATAACGAAAATAAGAATATTGGAAGTCAATTGCTGAAAGCTCCTGACGAGCGAACCAAACAATTACAAAAATATTCAAGTTGGAGTGCTGAATATAACATTAAGCAGTTAAGTGTCAAAGTTTATATTTATATATATAAATATATATATATATATATATATATATATATATATATATATATATATATATATATATATATATATATATATATATATATATATATATATATATATATATATATATATATATATATATATATATATATATATATATATATATATATATATATATATATATATATATATATATATATATATATATAGTTTTAAGTTTGCTATATTCATTAGCAAAAGTGCTCAATATCAGAGATACAGCATATCTAAATTATATTAAATTATATTAACTCTATTCTGATGAGTGTTTATACCTATATAGCTACGAAACTCTGAAGTAAACATATGTGGATAAAACTTTTTCATATTAATTCCATTAATGCACTATCTCTATCTTTGATATTGAGCACTCTACCACAAAGCCTACTTGCCTTAAATGCCTCATTATCAGCAAACCATTGAAAAACCAGCAATTTTGACTTCAAAAATAGTATTTCAAATTAACACTACATATATGCCAAATATATATAATGACAAATCATATGCTGACTTGAAAAGTCATCTTTGTTTGTACAGCAGAAACAATCTATGGCAAGCTGTACTCAGAGATAACTACAATTCTGTATGTCACATTTTTCTATTCGTTGCCAAAGCAAATGCACATTAAGAAAACCATTTGAGAACTCTTGGAAGAGCAAAGCAATGGTTAATTTAGAAAGAGGCCATGCTCAAAATCGAGGAAGCAGCCATCATATGCATCTATATATGCATGTAATACTTTTCAAAGAGTGCACAGATACTACACTCATCCTGCATACAGATACTATGATCCTTGGCAGAAGAGCTATTCTATTTGTAAATAATTCCATAATTTTTTTAAAAATACATCTTTTATAAAATCGGGCTTTTTTTAAATTGTGATGTATGCAAAAACCTGAACACATTAATTGACTGTAAAATTTGGTAAAAAATATAAAAATTAAAATCTGATATTAATTACAAGATTCTGAAAGTATCTGGTATTAATTATAGGTTTCTACCAATAACCAGAAGCCACCATCCCCAAAATGGGACAGAAGGCATGAATGGATTAATACTTAAAAAAATAAAAGTTCGCATTTGTAAAAAGCCTTACATGGTTTTAAATATTTGTTATATAAAAAATATTTAAGCTTTAAAAAAAATGCTGGATACAAAATACATTAACTTCAGAAATAAATGGAAATTTCTTTAAAAATTGCAAGTCTATTTAAAAAATCTAATTTGGTATGATTTTAGCCATTATAGAAAAGTAAATAAACCATAAAACAACATTCAATTATAAAGAAATATATTTCTCTTTTGTTCATCCATATTTTCTTTGCATACTTGAAAAATGTGTATTGTTTCTAAAATGCTATTCAGTATCCAAGAAGTGAATCAATACAGTCTCCATATATTCTCATCATCATTATTAATCTCATGTTTGTTCTGTATATTACGGGGTTCATCTCTGTTAGTTTCTGGTTGTTATACCAAGTGCTTGCTTTGTGCAAGCCAGTTATATTTTTAGCTCAGCCTTGCCACAACTTATCGATACTCCTTGGAACATGTGGAGAGCCCGAGGACATTCCTCATGTTCTGACACCCACACTATCACCACAGCCACCAATGTTACTGCTACTACACTAGGAATGGAAGAGCAAGACAAGTGGAGAAAGAAAGAGTGAAGAAAAGAAAGAAAATAGTGATTTAATAATATTTCCATCAACAAATAAAAGAGAAGCATATATAATAAAAATTAATATTGCACTTACAACTATTATTGCAATTTAGGTTACTATGGTTTAACATAGTATGGCACAAGGCCAAATGAGGGGAAATAAGAGGTATAAAAATAATGTTAAACCTACATGCCTAGAAAATCAGCATTAAATAAGCCAAGATTTTGCCTAGTATCAAACACCTACTTCCAGTAATGTTGAGAAATATATACCTATCTCAATCATAAAACAAACTATTTCCACAATTGTTATTCATGCTAGTGGTTGTGGTAGTTGAAATGGTAGTAATATTATTAAAGCATAGTGAACTTTACAAATATAATTGTGATGGTAGTGAGGGTTGAGGTAAAGGTGGTTGTAATGATAATAATGGGTGTAATGTTTGTGATAATGAGCGGTGGTTGAGGTGATGGTGATTTGGGATGGGGGTGAAGGTAGAGATGATGATATAACTAATGTAAAGAAATATGAAGAAGTGCAATGAACTGAGAGAAGTGACAAAGATAAATAGGAAGAAAAAAGTGTAAGAAAGCAGAAAAAAGAAAGAGAAAAGAAAAGATGATAAAGCAGAAAAGAGAAAGAGAAGAGCGAGAAAATGGAGAAGAGGAAAGAAAGACAATAGAAAAGAAAGCAGAGAAGAATAAGAAAGCAGTGAAAAGAAGAGAACAAAAAAAGCATAAAAGAGGAAGAGAGGAGTAAGAAAACAGAGAAAAGAAGAAAGAAAAGAAAGCAGAGAAGAGAAAGAGAAAAGAAACTAGAGAAGTGAAAAAGAAAAGAAGAAAAAATCAGAGAAGTGAAAGGGAAGAGAAATGAAGAGTAGTACAAGAAGCAGAGAAGAGAAGAGTAAGAAAACAATGAAAAGAAAAGAAGAAAAGAAAGCAGAGAAAGAGATGAGAAGAGTAAGAATTCAGTAAAGAGAAAAAAGAGCAAAAAAGAGAATAGAAAAGAAAGCAGAGACAATATAAAAATTTTATTTTTACTACTTTAAAAATCTTAACTTTGTGTAATTGTCAGGGCCATGAACTAAAATTAGTTTGACATCCCTGGTCTAGGTAGTTTTTTGGTACACATTCTTTTGAGGGAAGTGTACTTTTATGAAGGCCAGATGGTTTGTATAAAAAATTGTTATACTTGTATATCCTTCTCAGCTCAGCAGTTAAAACCTACCAAAATTTTGAAGGATCCATTTCTAGTTTATAGAAAATTATTTTCTTATATATACTGACCAATGAGAGATGTGATCTCAAACCCTTGTAAGAACCCAAATGAAGGCCTTGTGAGCCTATTTTACAGAATAAATAGAGCTCAGGTCAGTAGATAGGGAGAAGACATTATGACAGCAAAGAGACAAGAGAGCCTAGAAGTTCACAAATGAAAATTCTCCTGTGGTTGGACAACAAAAAATGAAAAAGAATTTAAAGAAATTTTCCCAAGCACGAACAGTGCGAATTTAAAAGCAACTTTTAAAAAAATAACGATATGTCCCAAAGATGCTTGTGGGGCAAGTAAATGTAGATGTTTTCATTTTTTTTGAAAGATGGAGGCATCTTTGTTTTCTGCCTTCTTGACTTGTTTTCTCTTTTTCAAAATCCTTGTCTTTTCTCAAACTAATTTTTTCCATTTTTCAATGGTAATTCTTTTTATCAGAAATTATTATCCTGCCTTAATAGGTGGACAAAAGGAAATTTGTTGTGCAAACTTTGTATTTGTACCTTTTTTATACTTGTGTAATAAATGCTTTTCCTTTAAAATTTTACACAGTAGTTGAGTCTTATTTTGTGATTTATGCTTATTATGACTTTTCCTACTGTTATAGCAGAACATACCTATTCTATTGTTAATAGACTCTCCCACAGATAATAAGTAGTAGTAGTAGCAGTCGCCAGGGGGCTCAGTGAGTTGGTGAGTCAGTCGATGTCGGACATTAAAGTATCAATCACCACAACTAGATTGCTGCGTCATTAACTATTATTTTCAAGTTCCTGACGTTTTGTACGTCGAACCTTTTTTAGGACCGACTCAGTGAAATACAAGCCTCCACTGTGAAAACTACAACACCTACTAACTAGGTATTTGTGTTTGGCACAAGAACTTAGATTTAGTAGGTAATAAAATTTTTATAAAGAGGAAAAAAGAGAAAAGAAACCAGAGACATGTAAGAGAAGAGAAAAGTAGAATAATAAAAGAAGTAAAGAAGAGAAAAGGAAAAAAGAGTAAGAAAGCAGTGAAAAGAGAAGAGCAAAAAAGAAAGAAGAAAAGTGGAAGGGAAAAAAAGAAAAGAGAAAAAGAAAGAAAAGAAGTGAAAGAGAATGGTAGAAGAAAGAAGAGTAAGAAAAGAAAGCAGAGAATAGAAAGATTAAAGAAGCATAAGCAAATAAAGCAGATAAAAGAAAGTGTAAAGAAGATTAACAAAAAAATAGAGAAAAGAAAGAAAGGAGTAAGAAAAGAAAGCAAAGAAGAGAAACAAAAAATAAGAGTAAAGTAAAAGAAAGAAATAAGTACTATTCAAATGCTAATAAATCACAGGCTCTACATGATAACTAAAAAGATCTCTAATGGTTATGACATTGGAACATTGAAAAGGTCTTAGCCGAAATTATGAAGGGATTCAACAAAATTTGATGTTTGATCAGATTTTCAGAAATGGTTCAGACCAAGAACTTTTAAGCAACTTCCTAATATTAAGAATACTATAAGTAATAATAATTATGAAAAATGATGAAATTAATGCTGGTGGAATCTATTGAAGCTGTATCAATTTCTGCATTGTCCTGATTGGCCAATTCCAGATGCTTTTATTGGTAGTTACTTTTAATTGGTTCAATTGCGAACAGTATTTGTCTGAATTTAATATCTGATTTTGTGAAAGGTAATACACAATATCCTTCCAATTCCATCAGATGCACAGTATCACCTTTAGATGTAGACCAGCTTCTGAAATGGTTAACAGTAACTAATTTCATTTTCCCTGAAATCTTTCTCATACTACATTGTTGTAAACAATCCATTTTTCATCACCTGTAAGTATACTTTTCAAAAATAGGTTGTTTTTGTTGCATTGGTGCAGAAAATGCAGATGGAAATGTTGTCTATTAAATTTTTCTTTAAATCACCCAAAGGCACCCAAACATCATAGTGATTCAAGTATCTGTGTTTTCAAATGTCTTACACTGCTCATCTAAAATAGGTAGAGAATTTTTACAATATCCCATGTTGTGTGACCTGAATCTTTTTAATCAGTATTTCATTTTGGTCATCATCAATGACTGCAGGCCCCCCTGGAGCATTCTTGACCTTCCAGATGAAAATTTCCATTTGTGAATCTAGTAAACCACTTACAAACAGTCCTCTACACTATGGCACCACTCTATGAATGGTACATATCTTTTTGCTGTTTTTACAGAGATATTTTCCTTTCTGAAAATAAAAGAACATAAAATGATAAAAATGCATCTCATTTTCCTCTATTTTTCACATATAATATTTTTGTGATGTCAATGAATACTCATTGTCACTTTCATAATGCTCATTGTAGTAGAGACTTTGTAATCACAGATACAACTATAGTATGCTGTTGAACAATATTGGTGTCAGACACCTTCAACTATCACTCACACTAATACTACTTGCTTGATAATACTCACTTGAATAGTAATCTGTATAGTGATCGGAATAGAAAAATAATATAGGGAATAGAGTAGAAAATAGTGGCATGTATAGTAATAGAGGATAGAGTAGAAATGGTGACTTGAAGAGGATAAACTAGAAAGGCAGATCCTTAGTTGTCATATATGCGTTTCCTCTATGGTCACGTGGTCTACTTAATTCAATAATCCGCCTGTGTTTGCTCCACTGGTGATCTATGTTCAAACTCAAGTGTCAGCAGCAACACTTTATTCCTATATAACAAATATAAAAACATTTAAGATTCACAATCCACACATGAATTATATAGAAAGAGGCACTGAAGTATTATCTTCCAGAATATGAAGATTATCCTTGTCAACGTTGCTCACATTTTAAGGAGGATACTATCCATCAAATCAGCCCATCAAACCCTTATGGTAGCAATGGAGGGACTTGACTCTATGACTGAACAAAGCAAGACATTAAAAAAACTAAATAATAAAATTCCATGATTTAAAAACTAGGCATGGCTTCTCTTAATTGATTGAAGGTGTAAACCTTAACATGTTTTTTTTTTGTTGAATTATGATTAGAAATATCCCATTCAGTAATGTGCTGATGCTACACCAGGTATGGCACTCATGGCTTCTGATCTTAATTGTTTTTTCGATTATGTTTTTTTTTCTTGGTGAATTATGATGGGCAATAGTAAATATCCCATTCAGTAATGTGCTGATGCTACACCAGGTATGGCACTCATGGCTTCTGATCTTAATTGATTGAAGGTTAAATTGAATTATGATGGGCAATAGTAAATATCCCATTCAGTAATGTGCTGATGCTACACCAGGTTTGGCTTTGATCTTAATTGATTGAAGGTGTAAACCTTGTTTTTTTTTTTGTTATGAATTATGATGGGCAATAGTAAATATCCCATTCAGTAATGTGCTGATGCTACACCAGGTATGGCACTCATGGCTTCTGATCTTAATTGATTGAAGGTGTAAACCTTAACATGTTTTTTTCTTGTTGAATTATGATGGGCAATAGTAAATATCCCATTCAGTAATGTGCTGATGCTACACCAGGTATGGCACTCATGGCTTCTGATCTTAATTGATTGAAGGTGTAAACCTTAACATGTTTTTTTCTTGGTGAATTATGATGGGCAATAGTAAATATCCCATTCAGTAATGTGCTGATGCTACACCAGGTATGGCACTCATGGCTTCTGATCTTAATTGATTGAAGGTGTAAACCTTAACATGTTTTTTTTTTTGGTGAATTATGATGGGCAATAGTAAATATCCCATTCAGTAATGTGCTGATGCTACACCAGGTATGGCACTCATGGCTTCTGATCTTAATTGATTGAAGGTGTAAACCTTAACATGTTTTTTTTTTTGTTGAATTATGATGGGCAATAGTAAATATCCCATTCAGTAATGTGCTGATGCTACACCAGGTATGGCACTCATGGCTTCTGATCTTAATTGATTGAAGGTGTAAACCTTAACATGTTTTTTTTTCTTGTTGAATTATGATGGGCAATAGTAAATATCCCATTCAGTAATGTGCTGATGCTACACCAGGTATGGCACTCATGGCTTCTGATCTTAATTGATTGAAGGTGTAAACCTTAACATGTTTTTTTCTTGTTGAATTATGATGGGCAATAGTAAATATCCCATTCAGTAATGTGCTGATGCTACACCAGGTATGGCACTGGCTTGATCTTAATTGATTGAAGGTGTAAACCTTAACATGTTTTTTTCTTGGTGAATTATGATGGGCAATAGTAAATATCCCATTCAGTAATGTGCTGATGCTACACCAGGTATGGCACTCATGGCTTCTGATCTTAATTGATTGAAGGTGTAAACCTTAACATGTTTTTTTTCTTGGTGAATTATGATGGGCAATAGTAAATATCCCATTCAGTAATGTGCTGATGCTACACCAGGTATGGCACTCATGGCTTCTGATCTTAATTGATTGAAGGTGTAAACCTTAACATGTTTTTTTTTTTTTCTTGTGAATTATGATGGGCAATAGTAAATATCCCATTCAGTAATGTGCTGATGCTACACCAGGTATGGCACTCATGGCTTCTGATCTTAATTGATTGAAGGTGTAAACCTTAACATGTTTTTTTTCTTGGTGAATTATGATGGGCAATAGTAAATATCCCATTCAGTAATGTGCTGATGCTACACCAGGTATGGCACTCATGGCTTCTGATCTTAATTGATTGAAGGTGTAAACCTTAACATGTTTTTTTTCTTGTTGAATTATGATGGGCAATAGTAAATATCCCATTCAGTAATGTGCTGATGCTACACCAGGTATGGCACTCCATGGCTTCTGATCTTAATTGATTGAAGGTGTAAACCTTAACATGTTTTTTTTTTTGTTGAATTATGATGGGCATTAAATATCCCATTCAGTAATGTGCTGATGCTACACCAGGTATGGCACTATGGCTTCTGATCTTAATTGATTGAAGGTGTAAACCCATGTTTTTTTCTTGTTGAATTATGATGGGCAATAGTAAATATCCCATTCAGTAATGTGCTGATGCTACACCAGGTATGGCACTCATGGCTTCTGATCTTAATTGATTGAAGGTGTAAACCTTAACATGTTTTTTTTTTTTTGTGAATTATGATGGGCAATAGTAAATATCCCATTCAGTAATGTGCTGATGCTACACCAGGTATGGCACTCATGGCTTCTGATCTTAATTGATTGAAGGTGTAAACATGAACATGTTTTTTTTTTTGGTGAATTATGATGGGCAATAGTAAATATCCCATTCAGTAATGTGCTGATGCTACACCAGGTATGGCACCTGGCATGGCTTCTGATCTTAATTGATTGAAGGTGTAAACCTTAACATGTTTTTTTTTCTTGGTGAATTATGATGGGCAATAGTAAATATCCCATTCAGTAATGTGCTGATGCTACACCAGGTATGGCACTCATGGCTTCTGATCTTAATTGATTGAAGGTGTAAACCTTAACATGTTTTTTTTTCTTGGTGAATTATGATGGGCAATAGTAAATATCCCATTCAGTAATGTGCTGATGCTACACCAGGTATGGCACTCATGGCTTCTGATCTTAATTGATTGAAGGTGTAAACCTTAACATGTTTTTTTCTTGGTGAATTATGATGGGCAATAGTAAATATCCCATTCAGTAATGTGCTGATGCTACACCAGGTATGGCACTCATGGCTTCTGATCTTAATTGATTGAAGGTGTAAACCTTAACATGTTTTTTTCTTGGTGAATTATGATGGGCAATAGTAAATATCCCATTCAGTAATGTGCTGAATTATGATGGCAATGCCCATTCAGTAATGTGCTGATGCTACACCAGGTATGGCACTCATGGCTTCTGATCTTAATTGATTGAAGGTGTAAACATTAACATGTTTTTTCTTGGTGAATTATGATGGGCAATAGTAAATATCCCATTCAGTAATGTGCTGATGCTACACCAGGTATGGCACTCATGGCTTCTGATCTTAATTGATTGAAGGTGTAAACCTGAACATGTTTTTTTTTTCTTGGTGAATTATGATGGGCAATAGTAAATATCCCATTCAGTAATGTGCTGATGCTACACCAGGTATGGCACTCATGGCTTCTGATCTTAATTGATTGAAGGTGTAAACCTGAACATGTTTTTTCTTGGTGAATTATGATGGGCAATAGTAAATATCCCATTCAGTAATGTGCTGATGCTACACCAGGTATGGCACTCATGGCTTCTGATCTTAATTGATTGAAGGTGTAAACCTTAACATGTTTTTTCTTGGTGAATTATGATGGGCAATAGTAAATATCCCATTCAGTAATGTGCTGATGCTACACCAGGTATGGCACTCATGGCTTCTGATCTTAATTGATTGAAGGTGTAAACCTTAACATGTTTTTTTTTCTTGTTGAATTATGATGGGCAATAGTAAATATCCCATTCAGTAATGTGCTGATGCTACACCAGGTATGGCACTCATGGCTTCTGATCTTAATTGATTGAAGGTGTAAACCTTAACATGTTTTTTTCTTGGTGAATTATGATGGGCAATAGTAAATATCCCATTCAGTAATGTGCTGATGCTACACCAGGTATGGCACTCATGGCTTCTGATCTTAATTGATTGAAGGTGTAAAACCTTAACATGTTTTTTTGGTGAATTATGATTAAATATCCCATTCAGTAATGTGCTGATGCTACACCAGGTATGGCACTCATGGCTTCTTGATCTTAATTGATTGAAACAAAGGTAAACATTAACATGTTTTTTCTTGGTGAATTATGATGGGCAATAGTAAATATCCCATTCAGTAATGTGCTGATGCTACACCAGGTATGGCACTCATGGCTTCTGATCTTAATTGATTGAAGGTGTAAACCTTAACATGTTTTTTTTTTTGTTGAATTATGATGGGCAATAGTAAATATCCCATTCAGTAATGTGCTGATGCTACACCAGGTATGGCACTCATGGCTTCTGATCTTAATTGATTGAAGGTGTAAACCTTAACATGTTTTTTCTTGGTGAATTATGATGGGCAATAGTAAATATCCCATTCAGTAATGTGCTGATGCTACACCAGGTATGGCACTCATGGCTTCTGATCTTAATTGATTGTTTTTTTTCTTTTTGAAGGGGCAATGTAAACATGAACATGTTTTTTTTCTGATCTTGATTGAAGGTGTGAATTATGATGGGCAATAGTAAATATCCCATTCAGTAATGTGCTGATGCTACACCAGGTATGGCACTCATGGCTTCTGATCTTAATTGATTGAAGGTGTAAACCTTAACATGTTTTTTTTTGGTGAATTATGATGGGCAATAGTAAATATCCCATTCAGTAATGTGCTGATGCTACACCAGGTATGGCACTCATGGCTTCTGATCTTAATTGATTGAAGGTGTAAACCTTAACATGTTTTTTTCTTGGTGAATTATGATGGGCAATAGTAAATATCCCATTCAGTAATGTGCTGATGCTACACCAGGTATGGCACTCATGGCTTCTGATCTTAATTGATTGAAGGTGTAAACCTTAACATGTTTTTTTTTTGTAATGTTATGATGGGCAATAGTAAATATCCCATTCAGTAATGTGCTGATGCTACACCAGGTATGGCACTCATGGCTTCTGATCTTAATTGATTGAAGGTGTAAACCTTAACATGTTTTTTTCTTGGTGAATTATGATGGGCAATAGTAAATATCCCATTCAGTAATGTGCTGATGCTACACCAGGTATGGCACTCATGGCTTTCTTAATTGATTGAAGGTGAACATGTTTTTTTCTTGGTGAATTATGATGGGCAATAGTAAATATCCCATTCAGTAATGTGCTGATGCTACACCAGGTATGGCACTCATGGCTTCTGATCTTAATTGATTGAAGGTGTAAACATGAACATGTTTTTTTCTTGGTAAATTATGATGGGCAATAGTAAATATCCCATTCAGTAATGTGCTGATGCTACACCAGGTATGGCACTCATGGCTTCTGATCTTAATTGATTGAAGGTGTAAACATGAACATGTTTTTTTCTTGGTAAATTATTTTAAATATCCCATTCAGTAATGTGCTGATGCTACACCAGGTATGGCACTGGTTCTGATCTTAATTGATTGAAGGTGTAAACATGAACATGTTTTTTTCTTGGTGAATTAAGATTGGTGACGGTAAACATCCTATATTCAGTACCATATATTTGCTCGTTAGTTACCTGACTTTATTCTCTTGGGGATGATGCACTGTATGCCTCTGTTCATGAGCAGAAGTAGTGGGAGAGCATCATAGCTGGGTATCAAGAAAGTTGTTTTGTTTAAGTTTGAAGAATGAGGCAGCAAAGATGACTTGGGAGTCACCTCTTGATATTAGGGAACAACCTCAATCAAAGACTGAGCAGACTGGCTTATCTAACCTGAAGGTATTTCTAATTGGGCTCCACCTGAAAGTATGCTAACCTGTCAGTATATCATGAATATTTGGCTGTAATGCATATGCCTGGTATGCCCTTATCAGACTGGCTGTTATGATGAGTATATTGGGCTTTGTATATATTTACCCCAGCATTACTTTTTTGTGTTCTGCTCTCTCACTTAATAATAATAATAATAATAATAAAGGCTATCAATGGACTACAAATGGCAGAGTAAAATGAGAATAAGCAGAAATAGAAAAACAAGACAAGCAAAAAGCGCAGAAATATTAGTTAAAAAATTCCAAAGACAAGAAGCAAAAATGGGAAGATACAAAAATTCAAGGATTTGGGAAATATGATATGTGCATGGTTGTTAAAGGACACTTAAGAGCTGCCCAAAACAAGTGTATGCATAGGAACTATATCAACACCATAATAGGTAAGACACAAACTAGTAATTGTCCTCTCTAAGGAAGTAGAACTATAACTCATATGAATGAATGTAGCAAATTAGCTCAGGAGTATGAAAAAATACATGATAGGGTAGGAATGAGGAATCACTATGAACTGTGCAAATTATTTGGATTTTACCATGCAGTCAAGTTGTATATGGGCCAAGGAGAAACTGTTCTGGAGAATAGAAAATGTCAGATTCTTTTATACCTATGTAACACTCTACATATGGTATCTTCAATATGCCACATGAAGAAAATTGGTCAGGAGATCTGGTCCAGTTATCATGAACAAATACAGAAAAAGTTTATCAGTTTGTGAATGCTGTCATTCCAATAAACTCCATAATAAAACTGAAAGTGTGAAAAACTAAGAAAATGCCTGGACCTTGCCAGAGAAATGAAATAATTCAAAATATGGTCAATAAATTTTACAACTGTTCCAAAATGTACTTTTAAATATGAGGAACCAAAATTATTGTGGTGAAAAATTGAGTAGGAAAGAATCAAGTATTGACCTACCTTGTCACACTTCTATAACTGGATTCCCCTATTCCATTTCCTGCAGAGATATATGTGCCTTGGAAACAGACATATACCCCACTCTGTAAAACCAGTTCACAACCAAGTCCAGAATGGAACAAATGAACAGGATTATCAGCAAATATTAAATCCTGGTTAATGAAATGCCATAGCACATAAAAGTTGTTTGCATTTTCCTAAGATTGATCATGGCAACAGAGAATAATAATAACAGATCATCTGAGAGCAAATTGAAAACTGCAATAAACTCAAGTGAGCCAGACAACCCTCTGGATGCTAATGGAGAAAAAGCAGAGGCAGAAGTAAGACCCCACCCAGCCTACAGAGAGGCATTGCTGCATATGCAAATTACTTCACCTAATAAAACCACTGATATTTAGCAAGTGAGATATTTAAGCTTGATACTGTAAGGTTATGGCAATCGGTGACAAAATATTGAGGATCGAAAGTTATTACAGGACACAACTGTTCAAATATCATGCAAGTTAGAAGAATAATACCCTTTATTTCATCTTTCTCTTTCCCTTTAATTTTCCCTTTCTCCTTTATTTCTTCTTTCTCCTTTCTCTCTTCATTCTTTCATCTTTCCTTCCCCTCTTTCTCTACTCATTTCTCATTTCTCCTTCTTTGTCTTTTATTCCATCTCCTTTACTTTCTTCTCTCTCTATTTTTCATATCCTTTATCTTTTTTCTTTCCACTCCTCCTTACTTTGATTCTTTTACTACTTTTTTCTTCCCCACTTCTCCTTTACTTCTCCCATGGCTATCAACTTGTCTTTTCCTGCTCTTTCTGTCTCTTTCTTCCTGCTATCTCCAATTTATTCTTTCTTTTTTACCCTCTCCCCCCCCCCGCCTTCTTCTCTTCTCCCTCTTTTAACATTTCTTTTTAAACCTTTCTTTTTTTCCTTCCACTTCTCCTTAGCTATTCTACACCCACCTTCTCATATCACCCTTTCTTCCTCTCTCATATACTATCTCAAATTTCAATAAAAAAAGAGAGAATGAAATGCCAAGCACTGTGAACCAAGATGTACTGTAATGATAGATAAACATGGAAATTCAAAATAGATTTCTTTTTACTGCAGAGACATTACAACTGAACAGAAAATCGCATCAGGACTTTCTCTTTTATCAATAAACCTGTACCAAACACCAAATACTGAAAATAAAGGCAAGGATCACTTTATAAAACCAGACATTTTATTACAAGGAAAAGGACTTTTTATTTAACATACATCATCATAAGTCAATGTGTATATTTGTAAGACATATGTAGTACTCTTATTAAATATGCAACACCTGTCTGTGGAAGTTTAATGTAAAGAATTAATAGAAGCTGAAAAGAGGAAGGGAGAACAAAAATAAAGAGAGTAGGTAGAAGCAGACATATATAATAATATATAGAGAAGAGAACAAGAGGTGCAAGGAGACATGTAACTGTACATAGAGAGTGAATGAGAGAGAGAGAATAAAAATAAAGAGAGTGGATAGAAGTAGACATATATAAGCAAATAGAGGGGAGAGCAAGAAGTAGGAGACATGTAACTGATCAGAGAGAGAGAGAGAGATAAAGATAGAGAGAGTAGGTGTAAGTAGACATATATAAGACTATAGAGGGTAGAACAAGAGCTCAAAGGAGACATGTAACTGTTCATAGAGAATTGACAAATATAGGAAGAGTGATTAGAAATTAACATACATAAGCCTATAGAGGGGTGAACAAGAGGTAGAAGGAGATTTAACTGTAAACAGAGTGAAATAGAGGGATAGAATAAAAATAAAGAGAGTGGCTAGATGTAGACATATATAAGCCTATAACGGGAAGAGCAAGAAGTAGAAAGAGACATGTAACTGCTCACAGAGAAAGAGAGTGGATAGAAATAGACATATATAAGTCTGTAGAGGGGAGTGCAAGAAGTAGAAAGAGACATGTAACTACTCACAGAGAGAGAGAGAGAGCATAAAAATAGAGTGGGTGGAAGTAGACATATATAAGCCTATAAAGTGGATAATAAGAGATAGAAAGCAAATAAATCCTGAGATCATGGGGTAGTTTCTCAGCCTTCAAGTTCTACTCTGAGACAAGTTTGGTCCTGGAGATTCTAACCCAGAAACAGCATGTTACTATTAATCTATAAAGATAATGTTAGCATACTCCAACACTTTTCTAACACTGCTTACAGGGAGTGGATAATTTTTGTTCTTGCATTTTGGCCCACACATGAAACTGACCACGTGTCACATCTTACCCCATGAGGAGGCAGTTAAATATTTGATCAGAGTGTAGTGTGTTCTGTAAAAAGCATTACTGACATACAAAAATACATCTGGATACTGTAGGGATATTATTATTGTTATAAATAAATAAAATAATAATAATGAAAATTATAAATAAAATAAAATTAAACAATATTTAAACCTTATTTCAAATAAATTAAATAAAAAATAAAAATAATAAAATTACTCCCAGCATGCAACAAAATCTGTTCCTGCCGGAAATACGGACATCCCATCAAAAGACGTGAGATTCAATCTCTTTGCCCAAGAACCATCAGGATGACAACACGTGTATAACTTCCCCTCCATGATAGGACTTGTGATATTACAGAGTAACATACTCCCTTTCATAACATGAACATTATCACAATTGTAATGTAAAATACACACACCAATACACAAATATATAAATAATATTGTATGAAACTACCATACAATTTGTCATGCCTTCTCTGTATTATGTACATTTATTTTCCTTGTTTTTATCTTCATAAAAACAAGCCTAAAATTCTACTACCACTACTGCTATGGTGTGAGTGAATACCCTCACAATACACATTGTGTTTTATATATGTGGATTGTTTATTTCTAAATCAAGCAAAATGAAAATATAGTTGCACTTTAAGAGGTTTAGACTGACAGCATAAAGCATTATGTTTGAGGCATTTTGGAACTGTGAGTTGTGGTACACTTATTTGTGGTTTATTTCAGAACCTACTGATTATGGACACTTCAACCAAATTTAAAAATTGTTTGGCTTATATGATGACAATGGTGGGTGGCCATATCAGCAGAGTTTTGGTCAGAAGAGATACAAGGAAGCACCACAGTAGCAGCTAGAGACAGAAGGCAGTTCCTGACAATGATGGATATAACAGCAGATAGGATTTTGATTCCTGTCAGTAAAGTCTTGGAGAAAATGATACAACAGCTATATATTCAGTGCCACAGACACAGAACCAACAATAATTCAGGTCTTTCTCTATTGTACAGAAATATAAAAAAAATCACTGTATAGTGTGGGGACAAAGGAGAAAACCATGTCTTAACTTAAAAAAAAATTGTGTTCTCCATGCTCTCTGTTGAAAAAGAAAATCAGAATCAAGATCAGGTTGACTTTTGTAGGTCTTGAAATTATTTGTGTTTCCTTATCAGTCTCAGCTAACCACAACCATTATTAGCCTAATAAAAGAACTCTGGACCACAGGATTGCTTGGTACTCTTTGTGGGTGAAGTATGTAGTTGTGTGTTATGAGCTTTGATGTTTGATTGATTTTGATTTACGTTTCTGATTTATGACTTTAGGCTTATAATTTTTTGAACGTAATCTTCTCTATTTCTATTTATCTCATAATTGTTTTTAATCATTTAACCCCAAGCAATTCAATAAAGCCACTAAGATGCAAGGGGTTACTATGTGTGAAAGAATAAGAAAATGAGAAACATTATTAAGGAGCAAGAACAATAAAAGAAGAGGAATAAAAAAGACAGTAGATAAAAATTGACATTGCATTTAAATCTTTGAAAGTCAAAGTTGGCTGAAAAGCAAGAAACCAGAAGAAAGTTCTGCAGGGAAAAAGTATGAGAAAAGAAACTGTTAGCAAAGAACTTACAGTAACATCTAGCGAATTCAATTGTAAAATGATGAGACTTTGTTGCCAATCTATTACTGCACTTAAATTCATAAAGTCTAAGTACCATAGAGAAAAGTTAATCAGAACAATTTCCATAGATATATAGTCATTGCCATAGACACAGAATCAGCAATGATTCAGGTCTTTCTCTATTGTACAGAAATATAAGAAAATCAATGTACAGTGAAGGTGTGTGTCTCCTGTAGCCCATTAGTGTCATAGAGGCACCACGTTTACTACAGTCATAGCCTGAGGCACCCAACCCTCTTCAGGCTGGTTTAGAAATCAGTTTTCCTTTTCCTAGACTGGCTGCTACCTCAAGGCAAGAGAGCCTAGTCTGCTTTACTATTTAACCCATAGGTAGAGGAAGGTGGATTCATGCCTTTTCAAAAGGCATTAGTGTGAAGTGAATGAAACAGAATCAAGTAGTAATTGAAGTCAGCCCCTTAATTCACTTTCTGCACCAATATCTATTTCATTATCTGAAATAATATCTATTACATTCCAATATAGTGAATATAATTTTTATCTCTCCAAACTTTACAATAAATGTCTCACTACTTCTTGCTTTCCAGCTTGTTGGAAGTTCTCCTTTGTAGAAACTATTTAACCTCTCAAATAATCACCCCATTAGTCTCTTACCAATTTTTGACAATGTACTAAATGCTCTAATCAACACCAAATTGGTTAAGCATCTTACTTCACATGACCTTCTTTTGGATAAATAACAATATGGCTTCTGTTTCTCCAGGTCTACTGTTTATGTGTTAATGGCCATCACTGAATTTGTCTAACAAGCTTTGGATAAGAATGGCAAAGCTCAGGCTGTGGTTCTAGATATCTCAAAAGCATTCAATATGTTTTGACATGGTGGTCTTCTACACAAGCTCAAGGTCTACAGTGTCTCTGGACAAATACTTAGGCTAATCCAATCATTCCTAACAAATCATCTAATGAAGGTCATATGATTGATTCATTCATTTTCTATAGCCCATCAACCTTTGCAGGTTATTTAAAGTCAGAAAATATTCTTTTAGATTGTAAGAATGTTTTTTGGCGATAATAAGTAGTGATACAATTATTACTAATTAACCCATAGCTGAATGGAGAAAAGATGGATTCATACCTTTTGTGCATAAGTGAATATAATGAACCCAATGGGAATTGTAAGCCATTATCTATTATACCACATCTATCCCTAGACCTACGCTGATTCTAATCTTCATCAACCTTCCCAATGTCACTTGTTCCCAAATAGGTATCTATATAGATTACACAACTATTTATTCCTATCTTAATAGCAAATCCAATAAATCCAACAAAATAAAACTGGCAACTGCTCTCAAAAAGGACCTACAATCAGTGGTTAACTGGGGCAAGGAATGACTTGTAAATTTTAATATCTTCAAAACAAAACTGCTT